AAACTCTTGATGTTTAAATAAAATTAAGTTAGAATTTTTTTTTCTCAATTTTCACCTGCAACGTTTGAAGATTGTTGTTTAGCAAGGTAACAGATTCGTATTTCTATATGACACATAAATACACACTTTATCAAACCGTAAACACGGTTATTTTCAGAAGCACAATAAAACGTGGCCATCTAAACGAGAGAAAACACCATTCAAAGCTACTTCTTTCATGACAGCAATCTCTATTCCAAGGTTAATTGTACTTGCTTGACGAAGTCCAGCACTTTTTGACTTCTGAAGTCCCTCAAAAGGCATTTCTGTTGCCTGAAATACTTTGATTACACTTGTTGCCTTTACCAAGCCACCTCTATTTTATGTTTATTGTAAAATTGACAAGTTCGTATTCATGATGATTCTGTATAAGCTCACGTATTTCAAAATAATATCTGCGTATCACACACATGTAACACATCTGCAGAACCAGTAGGAAGTTCCACGTGGTCTTTTGCGACACAAAATTGATTTTTCTTCTTGAATAGTGCAGTTTTCTACTGCTTTTATTTCTGACGCACGAGCATTCTTTTGTATGCAGCTGTGAATTGTCGAACAGCACGGTTGTTATTACAGCCGCAAGATTGCCTAATAGCAACAAAAAGAAAAGGGTTCCAAATGATTCTGGTTTAACTTATATGTTAAAAATACTTCAAGGAGTATAAAGATGATGACACTAAAGTTTCATATAATTGCTACATAGACTTGATTGCTGTTAGAAACCCAATAAATCATGTCTTACGCCGAGTTGCATACATTCTTTACCAAGTGATATCTTTCAACTGAAAATTTTCTGTTTCTACAAGAAAAGGTTTTCAAAATGGCTTATTGGAAGTTTTCATTGGATTTTAATTTTAATTTCTAGCCAAAAGAATACCTAGAACATTCGGAAATATAGTGATCAAGAGATTTTGCAAAGTATCTAGAAGAAAGGCTACCTTATCAATACGAGGATCAGCCAGTACTGAGTTTGTCAGTTTTTAGTTTGTTTGTTTGTTTTCCTCTTTCAGTGGAAAAGTGCCAATGAAGTATTTAGTTTGAGTGAAGTATTGGAATCACTGTTAGTTATTGCGTATATTCAGTTATTCGATTAACTGACCGCAGAATTGTACAAATAAGTTTATTTTTACGTTAGTAGTAAAACCGCTAGGAAGCTTGTAGAAACATTACGGAAGAAATAAACTAATTTGATATCATTGCATGGACTGGACTCAAAATTATTTTAACAATAATTTAAAAGGACCTGCCCAATGGAAGAACAACATTGAAATAACTGGTGTCAGAAGTGGAAGTTTTCTTAGAATAAACACTTAACCCAATTTTAAACAGTCTAAAGAAATATTTGAACAATTAAAGCAGCATACTTCTAAGTCATGACAATATACCTTTTGGAAGTGCTCAGGAAGTGAAAATACAGTGGGCAAATGATTATCTCTCAGACGAACATTTTGATCTGTTTTATCAAAACATTCTTCTTCAAAAGGTTCAGAGCACAACCTGAAAGCTTTTTTTAGACACCATTTGTCTCTCCGAATTACTTACAATCCATTTTTCAATAATTCAGGTTGTCTCTTTGATAAGCTGTACGTAATTTCAAAATATTGAAATTGATTGAGTAGGCAACTATCATATCATAATAAAATTAAAAGAAAACTTCAGGCTTGTTATCACTGGTTTTCCTGTCACTGGAGTTCTTCCTGGATAGGTGGTAGGGTGAATCAATTAGTATCTCCAACCTTGACAATCCTCTGGAATCAGTTTTATCAAGCTCCTCCACAGGATGGGGTTCCATTGATGAGTTATTCTCTGGAATTATCCAGTTGACCAGTCTCTCACCAATGTATTTCCAAATATGATGAATAATTTTTGCTTTGAATCACCTCTCCTACTTCACTTTGGAATGTGTCCTCTCTCGTGACGACAACTGTTCAGTCATACTATGTCACCTCACTGGAATCCAGTTTTATCAGCACTTACAGCATAGTTACTTTTCACTTTATCACAAGCCGACTTAAGTCTTTCCTGGATAAAGTCATGTATGACATCCTTATTTCTCACACCTAGGAGAGTTTTTCCAACCACCAATCCCTTATAGCTTGCTGGAGTATTTGTTTCCACTACGCCCAAGTGACTAGATAAAAAAATATTTCTATTAAAACCTAATATGAGTATCTCACTTCCTGGTGGTACAATAACCACCACCGCATCCACTAGATGTTTCTTTGGCTTGATAACTGCTGTTGATTCCTGACAGTCTTGGCTGTAACCGTCTGATTTCCCACAAATATAAGTTATTTCTTTCTGATATGCTTTGAGAACTCTTATTCCATACAGGTATTTGCCTGCAATTCCTGGCATTATACCCCTTCAAGTTACACTCGAAACATATATTATCTTGTGGTTTATTTCCTTAATTCTATTTAAATAGTCATCTGATCAATTCTTTCTTTTCTTCTAGACTACTATTAGGGAGAACTGATGTTCCAATACTGCAGAATCTGATACTCCCGTTGCTACTAGATAGTGCCTTTATTAGTTCATCTATGACCTTAATGAATTTTAGTTCAATCACTAACTGCAGAGATTCATTTAAAGACACAAATAAGTTCTCCTATTTCATATCTGCTGGTAGACGGCGTTTTCAGCTGGAACTCTTGAGCAAATGCAGAAAGAGGTGTAGCTGGTTTAGTCTTTTAATTTAATAGTTCATTTTCTAGATGTTTTATTCTGTCACTGATGTAATTTTCAACCTCAATAATGTTCATTTCCACCTCATAGATGTCTTATTTGCTTTATTCGTGTCTTCTTTTTGTACTTCTTTAATTTTGTCATTATCATCATATCCTCTCATACTACTTCATTCTTGTTGTTGTAATCTCTGTACGTCTCCAATAGTTTCATCAGTTTTTTTCCATCAGATTTATTATGATTTCAATTTTTAAACAGTAATCTCTTCTTTGAATTCTTAATTTCCTGTCACATTCTTCTTAATATTATTTTATCTTTCTATCTATTTCTTCTTGGTCCTCTTTTAATCTTATGCCTTGCTCTTCTTTTCGATCTTCTTTCAGTTTTATATCACGTTCTTCTTTAAATTTTCTATCTTATTCCTCCTGATTTTGTCTTAAATTTCATCATCTCAAGTATCACTTTACTCTCACTACTTGACCTCGTGGTCTTCATATTCAACAGTTAAAGTTTCGTCGAACTATATTTTACTTTCACCAAATAATCCCACTTCTTACTCCAATGTAGTAGCATAGGTCTTTCGTTGGCGGGCTCTTTCATATTATCTGGTAAAAACAATTGAACATCCAAATCACGTAACGATAATAAATTATTTTATATCCTCGTTTAACATTTCTACAAACTTGAATATTGTCGTAGACCTATGTTAGAAATGACTACCGTAAGTTTATTTGTAATTAAGCACAAAGCTACACAATGGGCTATCTGTGCTCTGCCTGCCACGGGTATCGAAACCCGGATTCTAGCGTTGTGAGTCCGCAGACATACCGCTGTGCTACTGAGGGACTGGCTAATGTAAGACAAATAAAACTTATTGTACAAAGTAACCCAGAGCTAAAACACTGACTGATTCGCTGTTTATCCCGAAATAGAATTCCATTTGCAAAATAACTATACACTCTTTTTCAACTCACTTTCTAAGTAACATAATGACGCTTCTAACTGTTGCAATGTCTGTGGAGGAGGCTCCA